AACTCACGGTCACTGAGGTTGCTGTTGACCCTCTCTGCCAGTGCCAAGCTCTGTGCCAGCTGCTCTCTGAAGCTCTGGCCCATGTAGTAGTCAATGTCGTTGGCACGGAGCAGCTCTTCAAAGGACTTGGTGGTGTCACCCAAGTGCTGGGACAGGATGTGACAGACGCCACGTCCAACTCGCATCTTCTGCCTCAGGTGGGAAAGCTCACGGGCCTGCGCTTGAATCAGGGAATCATACTTCCTGGAGAGAGCACAGGGCCACCGTTAGCAAGGGAAATCTTCACAAGAATATGGAAATGGAGAAAATTCAATTGGAGACGCTACACATAATTATGATCCTTTACGCATTTTCTGCAGGAAATAACCTGCCTAGATTTCAGGTTTTATATAGTGGATATGGTGTCAATAACAGATTTTGAATAGCAAGTGCAGGAATGTTTCTTGTTCACCCCATTCCTAGTTCCCTACATGTGATTTAAGAGATGATATGCAGACTTAGGCATGTGACTTCAAGATATAACAGGCAAAAAAACTGAAGGAAGAAGTAAACGATGAACACACTACAGAGGTATGTAGTTTCTCTGTGGTGGTTTATTTGGTTGTTTCATTTGCACTTCCAAACAGGGGATTTGTTAGTAAGGGCGAGATTTTGTGATGCCGAAACCTTCTCTGGGTCAACATTTATTAGGATTAAAAAGATATACCGTAAGATAAAAAAGATCTTTTTTAATTGGTGCAATGGACACATCTATTTAATTAGGTTGGATGAACACAGCACAGCTCTATGCACTACTGATATGGCCTAAAGATTTTTTTAAATTAAAATGTAATTTGGAAAGTATAAGATAGAGACGTGCACGTCTGGTACAACAAGCCTTCAAAGATACTGGGCTTTGTCAAGGCTACTGACTATTATTGTGAATTTAGACGTCTATGTTGTCAAAATTCTTGCTGATGTCCCAGTCTACCATGAGGTAACATGTTAGATGGGCTTACTGATAAGTGTTAAAATTATAGTTTTTAATTGTTTCTGAATGAATGTGCTGAGCACTCAAAAAAGAGAAATTGGGAGTGTTACGGGCTCAAAGGCATACAGAAAAACCTTTTGGTGGAAAATAAACGTGTTAATTCCAGACTATCTATATCTCATATAGAAAAAGCATATCTACTGTGATTCTCTCAGGTGAAAGCAACTGAAATTGAATGGGTGGAGGGATCCATGCTAACCGTTCATGGGCAAAAGCAGTCAGTACAGACCGACAAAGAGCAGATCCTAGGTCTCTTTGTGCCACTATGTGGCAGCAGTGAGCCGTACCCACCCTGGCCAGGTGGCAGACTTGAGATCTTCGCTGGAAGCTTTGCCCTCCATCCTGGAGCTCTTGAGCTGCGCCTCCAGCGATGCCACACGTGCCACCAGCTCCTGCAGCTCCTTGTTCGGCCGCGGCGCCGGCACGCCCGCCACCCCGTCGGACTGCCACCCCTCGTCTTCCTCCGCGCCGCTGGGGGTGGGGGAGGCGGCGGCGGCCTGGAAGTTCCAGTTGACCTTGCGGGGGCGCTCCAGGCTGGAGGCGTAGTCGCTGGTGGTGGAGAAGGAGCGGGCGCGCCGCTGCAGGTTGCGGATGAGCTTCTCCGAGCGCCGCAGCTGGGCGCGCAGGTCTTGGATGTGCTGCTGCAGAGCCGCCACATCGTCGCACTTGCCCAGCTCCCCTGCGTCCGCCGGCCACGCCTTCAGGCTGGAGAGCAGGGGCTGAGGTGCCAGGCCGTACGCAGCTCCATGCACATCCAGATCCTCATACTCTGTACAGGGAACAAGCCTGGTTAGAGGATCAGCAAACACTTCAGGGAAAAAATGGCTGTAAATCTGGCACAATCAAGTGATTCATCTCTGTAAGCATGCAGCAAGTTTGGAAGAAAAGACTTGTAGCGATATCGCGCCTGCCATATTTCTTCTGCATACTCATTCCTCTACATTCATACTCCTGCATATTTCAAGCCTCTGAGTACATTAGGCTTTAAGTCTTGCTTAAGTTTAATCGTGTAGAGAACCACATTATCTTGCTAAGCCAACACACTTTCATCTTCGCAGTAGCAAATCGCACTGTAATATATCCGGAGCTCCCCCAAGTGGATAAAAATAAGTATTGCATTTTTCTGGAGATGTAACAATTGGTCTTAAAACTCCACAAATCTAGTAATACAACTGAGATCAGAAGAAATAACGTAAGCATGCTATTCA